GTTAGGGTTAGGGTTAGGGTTAGGGTTAGGGTTAGGGTTACCTTTACGGTTAGGTTACAGCGCGCTTCTGTTGGCGCGCTGTTGTCGGCGCGCTTCTGTGCTCATTCGTCGGCGCGGTTTTGTCACCGCGGTTTAGTCAGGCGCGCTTTTGTCTTTCGCGCATTTGTGGTGGAACCGTTGATGGTGCACTTGTAGTCAGCACAGATGTGGACAGACCCGTGAGGCTTAACCGGGGTCACTACAGGGGTCTCCCAGAGTGCATGATCAACCGGCTCCAGGATCCCTTGACCAATTAGTTTGCCTAATTCTTGGTCAATTTTTGGTCAGAGGGTGAAAAGGACCTTCCGGGGCTTTAATCTAATGAGGGCAACATTGGGGTCCAGATTGAATGTGATTGGGGTCCCTACATAGTTGCCTAGTCCACTGCTGCAGACGTCCTCAAACTCTCTCAACAAGTCTTTGGCACTGTCATCGCGAACGGCATTGATGCTGGTCATCTCCAAGCCCAGGGATTCAAACCAGTCTAAGCCTAGGAGGCTCTGCAGGACTCCACTGACCACTGTTATAGGAAGCAAGCCATCAAGGTTTTTAAACTGCATCCAGAAAGTGCCTTGACCCAAAACAGGGATTTGGTTCCCCTGGTAGTTACTAAGGCACAGATTTGGGATCCTCAGCTTGTGCTTCCTGATGTTAGGGGTAGCCTTCTTAAGTGTGGCCCCAGACATGATGATCAGCGATGAGCTGGTGTCAATCTCCATGCTACATGGAGATATTTCAAGGAGGATGGAAATCCTCAGCTTTTTGTTCTGCAGGGTGCTTGCTTGCCCAATGGTTGTCTGAAATGCGTTATTGGTATCTGCTTTCTTCAATCTCTGCCATGGCTTCCATGCCTCTCGCCATGGCAGTCATGGTTTTGCAGTCTGGGCAGCCGGTTGTCTTGGTGGTGATGTGGCTGGAAACTTGCTCCTGCAGACTCTTGCGATGTGCCCCTTGTGATTGCAGCATTGGCAGATTGAGTCCCGGAAACAGCAGGCAGATCGCTGATGGTTGGCCCCACAGCCGGCATAAGGTGGGAGATGGGTTTTAAAATCTCATGCCATTTTCCACTTCTCCATGCGCATGCAGCAAACCTTGTCCTTGCTGTAAGAGAGGTCTCGCTCAGCAGTCTCATGATGCCCTTCAAAGGTTCTACGCACACTTGGGCTGTTCTGCCTTTGCAGCATTTCCATTGACTTGGTCAAGGATTCTGTAGCTCTAGCCTCATTCAATGCTATTTGCAGCGTGAGATTGGTTTTCACCAGCAATCTTCTTTGCAGACTGATGTCTTGAACACCACAAATTCTGTCCAGCAACAGTTCATCTAAATTGCAAAACTTGCAATATGCTGCGGCTTGGCATAGCAATATATTGATTGATGGTTTCACCTTCCTTTTGGTTCCAGAGGTTGAATTTGTGCCTCCACACATATTTTGATGGTTTGAGAGCGTAGTGTATCCTCAATGTATGTTGAAGCACTGGCCAAGCGACTGTCTGTACCGGTGTTGGCTCGGATAGGTCCTTGGTGGTGTTGAGTACCTCTGTCCCACAGTAGCTCAGGAACATGGCTCTCTTGCAGTTCTCAGAGAGGCCAAGAAGGTCATTAGCTTCCAGGAAACATTTGAACCTCATCATGTACAAGTTTCAATGCTCGATTGCTGGGTCATACAAAGCTGGTGGGGCATGCGTTGCCATCTTGTTCAGTCAAGGCAGATTTGAATTTGCTGCTTAAAGATGGCTGTTCAATGTCATGCTTAGCTCTGGCTGGATTGTTTGGCTGGATTGTTAGTCAGCTCTTTTTGTGCCTAGTTGCCTTCCAATCCCATCCTCGTCGCCAGTGTCACCCAAATTCTAAGAAGAGGACATGTCTTTTAGGGCATAGGATTATCCCACTACCATTAGAATAACAAAAGACAAAAGGCATACTACATTGCACAACCCCCTAGGAGCATCTCAGAAACCCTATAAAAATCTATCCATTCCTAAGCCATGTTTATATATACACATGTTCTCTTTCTATTTCAGTCTTAGCTTTCTACTTCAGGTTTATTCCTGGGCATGCATGCATGCATTCATTATTTTCAATGGTTTTAAAAGAAGCAATAATAACATAAGGCCAAACACAAAATGGCAAATGTGTGTGTGTGTGTGTGTGGAATCTGTGGGGGGTCCAAGTCAAAGCCTTCTATTGTTAGTACTATTGTTACCAGAAGAGTGTTTATTCACAATCATATCAATTGTGATCAGAATAGAATTCTCTAGATTTTCAGGAAGTAAGACTAGAAATATTGATAGGTTAAAAGTGAATTTATTATTAACTAAGCCTGGTAAACTGGTTTGTGACATGAGTCATGCATTCTTGCATTTGCATTTCATTTATTCTGAATTTATTTATTTAATTTATTTATTCATTTATTATTACTGTGCATAAAGGTTATTGTCAATTCATATCAATCTGTCCATTCAATATTGTTTCTATGTATCCAAATGTACCAAAATAATCTATCTGTTGGTTTACCCACTCTATGTATCTGAATAATTTCACAGTAACTGTCATTGGACAATATCTTGTGTTTCTGGATTACTTGAAGCTTTCCTTTTGAAGTTCATGATTTATATTTAAAACAAATAGCTCCAAATTTAAATGTTTTTCCATTTCTCTGTAAAGTGGAGCCATTCACCTGAGTGCCAAATTGGAAAGGAAGTTTCAACTATGCTACTGGGTAATGTAGCAACTATCATGCACATTTCTTATATGTGGCAATGTATTTGCATGTATAATTGAGTCACATATCACATATCACTTTCAGTTTTTTTATACTTTACATTTGGGTTTGTATATGGTAGGAATCTAGTCTGAGACTACTAGACTGAAAAGGATCCAAATGGTTATCTGGTTAAATAGTTAGTTATAATTCTTACAGCCCAAATCACTATTATAAATTCAGGTACTGCATTAAAGTGGGTTTGATATTGAGCAATAATTACAAAAAATAGAATTCATAGATGAGCTCTTTAACAAACTATCAATTAAAAGGATTCTGGGTATTCACTTCAGATTTTCTATCAATTTGTGCTACCTGCTCTAATATATGCAGTGAATCATAGACACAAACCTGACAATCAATACAAAAGCTACAAGTGGCACAAACAGCCATGGAAAGATACATGCTTGGCATTACAAGACAAAATAACACATGGATTAGAGCAGAATGCCAGCATTCCAGAAAATCCCAACTCAAGGGATAAAAACTCCAAGACAGACATTTTCTCAAAGTTCCATTTTATTAGAGTAGGTATACTGGCACATCTGGGAAAACCTGAATCTTGAGAGTTCAGGGTTTTCCCTCAGTAAATCAAAAGTCCAAACCCAACCCCTGTACTCATCAGTCCATCACATGGTTCAATCCCAATTCATCCCAACTCAAGACATCACTTCAACCACTCCTCCTCCAGGTGCAGGAATACCTTGACCAAAAAGAAGGCTATTGTGTTTAACTACATTCCCTCTACTAAATCTCCCCTCCTAATTTCGCAAGCACAAGAATGTGACAGGGTGGAAGCTTCCGGTGTTAATATGGCTTCCAAAGCTGATAGACATCTCCCCCCCCCTGAAAAAAAAAGCATGTCCTGGAAAATGAAATAGACAAAACACAAAACAAGGATTAATGCAATGTCCATCAAAACACTTAACTCCTTCTCCCTCCGCCAGGAGGACCTTTGGCTTATTAGGAAATTTATCATGAAACTGTTTCACTAGTCTGTCAGCATTCACATCCCAACTTTTGTCCCAGGTAGATTCTGACAAAGGGTATCCCTTCCAGAGTACTAATCACTGCAACTGTCCCTAGTGCAGTCTAGAGTCAAGAATCTTCTTAACTTCATAAGGGGTTTCACCTTGTACTACCATAAGTTGGGGAGGAGCAGCTACAAGGGTGGGTTTCAAAAATTGTTTGAATCTACTCTGTGGGCATGGCCTCCTTTGTAGGAGTGGCTTGCCACCCATGTGACCGGNTATTCATTACAGCCATGTGGCACAATTTTGCTTTAACTATACAACAAACAACTTTATTTCAAAATTATTTGTTCAGATAACTTAAAAATAATATAAAAATAAACAATGCTTTTCCTCAAAATAACAGAAGGATGGAAAGTCGAAACAAATAACAACTTTGTGAAATACAAAATGAAATGAATGGACACATTTTTTTTTAAACAAAAACATATGAAGGCAGCGGTTCTTGGCTTAATGCTTTTCACAGCATCAACAATACCAGTCGAATGACAAAAAAAAACATACATACAGGAAAAAATGGTGAAAATATACAAAAATTTCAAAGATAAATACAATATTTATAATCAATATGTTACAAAATAAATTCCCTTGGTGATTGCAAGTGTTCGTGTGAAAGGGAGTTGTAATGTAGGGCTATTTCATTCCTTATCTTTAAAAGGAATAAAATTTGATCTTCTAAATATTTAAGTGGATCTGAAAAAAATTCAAGACAAGTGTATAAATATTTAGCTACAACTTTGGCAAAATCACAAAAGTCTACAATTTTATAACCACATACAAAAACACATTAGGGGAAGAAGGATCTAGAAGTCAAAAGGACAATTTTCTGGTACAAGAAACAGACTTCACAGTAGCCTAAGAATGCAATAGTATACAGTGCTAGCAAAAGTTGAAAAAATGTTGCAGATCACATTTGCTTAACAGGAAGCTCTAGCAGTGGAAGTATATTTTATTTTTAACCAACAGACAGTAGCGTTTTCCTCTGTCAGTGTGCTTGTTGAAGGCAAGAGAATTCAATATCAAAGTTACAATTCCTAACTACAATAAGTTACAAAGTTCCATTTCATTAAGATGAATGCAATGATCAACCCTCCCGTCCTCCCGTCTCCCAAAATTATCTGAAATCATATATTCATCCTTTTTATTCCCCCCCTCCAAACCCCAGTTTTGATGGCTCATACCTCCTCCTTGGCCCCCTTTTTTTCACCACAAAAAAATATTTCACATTATAGAGATACACGACCATTGTGAATCTAGTATGAGTAGTACAGAAAAATGTTTCGGAGGCATTTTTCATCAGTGGTTTTCATGATAATCAAAATGGTGCATCCACAAAGTTTTTTCCCGACATATAGCAAGTACTAGACATAGCCAAGACGTAATCAGAAACTTTATACAAAATAGGTGTTCGCTTCTTCCTTTTTTTCTTCAGGACCAAGAAATTGTGAAAATATGAGAGAGGTTCAGTCAATAAAATGGAATTGTTCATGAAGAAGTTGATTGCATGTTGATTCTTAGTATTTTAAATAAACTTTTTTAAACAAAGTTTTTTTGTTTTTGTTTTTGTAGCATTTCAATGTTTTGCTGATTGTATTTTGAAGATACTGGTTCCATCAGCATATCTTATATACTAAGCATATCCCCTAGAAAGTTCATCTTCTGAACTTGGTGCTACAGTAGCTAAACAAAAAAATGAATTTACATTGGCGGAACTACAAGCCCAGACATAGCTGAAAAAAAAAGAGAGAGAGAGAGAAAGTACTATTAATTTACGTGCAATTTGTATCGGAACTTGCAAAGAAAGAATAAACAAGCAAGCAAAACAGCTAACAGCTGACCACACCTAATTCTTCACAGCACCAATGTCTCAAAATCATTAGGAAGCATTCACTAAACCCATTTCCTAAAACACTTGGATTAGGAACCAGATGCCTTTTTCTAGAGCTAAAAAAATATATACTGTTCTTGTATCTTTGGTAGGCAGATTAAGGTTTATGGGGAAAAAAAGATTGTGCCCAATTAGGTATCGAAGAACTCCATAAAAAAAGAATATATAACGGGAATGCGTTTGGAATTCACAACAGGGATAGATGCAGAAATGTAGCAGTAGGTCGGTCTTTGTGACCAAGGTACTGCATGGAAAAGTGGATAAACAATGGATAGATCCTTTTATTTTGCAAGACAGTAGCTATCAAAGAGTTTTTTTTGGGGGGGGGCATCTGTTTTTGGTATAGTAACTATCCAATAATCTTTCCTTTCTCCTCTTCTACATTTTATTTTTAAAATTGGATTTTATTCACAGAGCTATTTTTTTGGGGGGGGGTAAAGATTTGGCTTTGACATGAAAAGAACTCTGACCTGCGTGAAAGTGTGTGTGTGTGTGTGTGTGAGCGTGTGCGTGTGCTTGCACAAAGTATCCTATCTCCCACATGTGTGATATCTCTCTTAGCATTTTGCTAATGGCAAACAGTGGCCCAGACTCCCTGGAGAAAGCCTATGTTGACAGCTAAGAAACAACATGGGCATTTTTGGTAATGTCAGATAAGGCCAGCTCAGTCACCAATCAAGAACCAGACACTTCTCAAGTTCCATAAATGAAAAAGTGAATGAATGAACACACACACACACACACATTTTTTTTCCAAGCATTCAGATTTAAATGGACAGCTTTGGTTTTGACATTCTGTTAATTAGCACTTTCTTCTAATTGTACGCTGACTTTAATAAGTCCGTGACTTCCTGAGATCAAAGTCTACTATCTTACATCTGCTTTGGAATCCATCAAAGCGCTATAACAAGGCATAAGTTGAAATCTCCCATTTGTTAGCTCATGTTAATTTTTGAAATGTGTAGAAGGAAGTCCCAGTGCTCCTCTCTCTTGCACACCAAAAGCTCAGGGTCAGAATACCCACAGCATTGCATGATCTCTGGCCCCCAGGAACCGATACTACCTACTTTAAAGAAATAGTAGCCATTAATGCAATTTCTGAAGCACTGTAGGAATACGCCAAAGCACTTAATAGGGGAGAGAAGTTTGCAGATAGTCTCTAGTGCCTTATCCTAAGCATGGGACTACAGGTTTAAATCCAGCAAAGCTAGGGATTTGAATACCTGTACCGAATGTCTCTAAATTTTAAATGCAATCCGGAGGCACATCCTCCCTTATTCAGGATATTTATATAATTATATATTAGATGCAAAGAAAAGCTTGTTAAGCAAAAATATTTTAGTATTTGTCATTGTGTTCCAGTTAACTTCCTAGCAGTGTCGTAACTTGGATGGTTTTAACCTAATAGTACTTAAATGTTATCATGACACTGTTTCTCATTAATTTTTGCACAAGAAATATTAATACATTTTTATTTAGTCACGTGAACTTCAATTTCCCAGTTCATTAATTTCCAAAAAAATATCAATTTATCTCAGATTTGCTGTTGTATTTTTTCCCCCTGAAAGCTTGTTGTATGTGTACACATTTCTTACGTAATGCAATCTCTTTGCGTGACTATCCATGTGCTTAAATAAGCAGCATAAGGAACCTGAGCTGTAAGAAGTGTCGTTCAATATAATTTCACAGCAGCTCTACCATTAAATTTGATATTTCTGAAGCTGCCAAAAATGCATTATTTTTTCCCCTCTATGGATTTCCTTCCCTTCCCTACCTTCTTCCCTTCCCTGTCCTTTCTTCTTCTCCCCTCCCCTCTCCTCTCTTCTTGTAGGCAATTTTCTTGCTAGGTTTTTCTGGAAGGTATGGTGGTCTTTGTATAAGCTCTCAAAGATGAAAGGACAAGGGATGATCAACTATAACACTCTACATGTTGGGTGTAGAGGAAGGAAAACAGGTTCAAGTCCACCAACATTCAATGTAAATTTGATTGTTTGCCAATTTATGAAAACACGTAAACAGCTAGCAGGTTTCTGCTTATTTGTACCACATAGATTTGATTCTGAGATTAGTGGCAGAGTATATGTTAGGATGGAAATATTATGGCCAATGGTATTATGGTTGCTCCTCGTTTGAATCATGTTGGGTAGATTGAGCTTTTGCTTTTTAGATGATCATGTTTTTTTTAAATCTTCAACATTTATTTTAGGAACAATTATGTGGCAAAGGCCTCCACATACAAGCTATAGTATGTATTTAGTACACTAGTACTAAATCCACTGTTACTTTGAAATTTTGCTTTGAATTGATAGATTAAAGCCAATTGAGTTATAAGAAAATGTTGTAATTTGGAAAAGACGAGCAAGTTATATAGGCATAGTTAGACCAATGGATGAAATGGATGTGACTGTAACACAAAAGTACACACCTGTTTCAGGGCATAGCTGTGGACCTAATATTTGCATAATTGTATTAGGTGAAAGTTCTTTGACCTTAAAATTGCCAAGTTTCATACTTCAGCTCAGAGATCTTTGGGAATAGTAATGATCATGAATTCTTTTGTCATATGGAATGGCTAGAGTTATGGACACCCAATTTAATCAGTTTAAATCAGTACACGGCACTCATGAAATTTGACGGGTGGGAAGCAAATGCCATGCATAAACCACACCTCTATGTCAGCTTCTGCTTTGCTGTTGCTTCAGCTGCCATGAAACGGGGAGGGAGGGCATGGTATTTCGGTGGGGTTACTCGATGTGCTGGAGGAATGTTCTGGAGTTCTCTGGATGGTCAGACTACGCATGCGTGGGTGTTTCCCGCCTGGACCAACGGCCCCGACATTCCATCTTCGTGATGCCTTTTGAAGTTATCTCACACCTGACACTTGAAGGACTTATGATTGGACTGGGCCTATGATGCCAGGGGGTGTGGAATGGGCTATTCTATATATCAACTGCTTTCGCGCCTAATTAATCAGACTTCGCTATGCAACCGCTCTTTAACCATTTTTAATTAGTAAAAGTACATTTGATTTTCCACGTATGGAGTCTCATGGTCTTTCTTTCCTAATTATTAAATGGAGAGGTGCTGACACTCTCTACAAGTCCATCATCATCCTATGGGAGATGTTTTTTTTTTTTTCATCCAGTTTGCTACTTGCTTATAACATATTCTTTATATACAAATAAAGCCCATGGCAGAAACTAGGTTTAGGGAAATGTACATTCCTTACGCCCTTATGTTTTTAAGAGCAATACCTCTGGTACTCTGTATAACTAATGGGACTGGGCAAATTGTGTGCACTATTTGGAACATGTCTTTGTTTACATGGAGGGATTAGTCACAGGTTTACAGATGGAGCATAACAGCCAGATGCTCTCGCATTTCGACCCCTACGTGCCACTGTCTGGATGGCAGCCAGCTCTTGCCAGCTGTGAATTCCTCCAACGTGGCAGAGTTCCAATGTAGTTAGCTCCTCACAATGATGCCATCAGGACTGGAAGAAACAATACCAAATGGTAAAGGAATGGCAGGCATTGTTCACAATCTGTGGCCAGTAAGCATTCCCTTGTGTGTAAATGCAGTTCGGAGATGAGGGACAGAGCACGGTTTCGGTTACCTATAGTAAGCTCTCTTCCATTAATTGATGGCAATGGATACTAATAAAGCCATCAGCATTTAGTAACATGGGTTGTGTCAAAGAAGGGGCAATAATGGAAAAAGCAACCTTCAACCACATTTCACCCTCCTGTAATTTAGTGAAACAGTGATGGAGATATTGGCTTTCAGTGTCCTGCATGGTCCATTATTAAACAAGCAAATCTAAACACCATGATTACAATTGTGGACTTTAATCTTGAGGTGAATTCATAACAGAAGAAACTCTTTTCATCTTCTCCTCAAGCATGGTTGTTTTTTGGGGGGGAGGGATATAAATATATCTTTCTTCAAACAATACAATTTTGTAAACAGGGCATGAACTCAAACCCAGCATTACCAATGCCATCTAGCCCAGTGTTTCTCAACCTTGGCAACTTGAAGATGTCCGGACTTCAACTCCCAGAATTCCCCAGCCAGCAAATGCTGGCTGGGGAATTCTGGGAGTTGAAGTCCGGACATCTTCAAGTTGCCAAGGTTGAGAAACACTGACATGTGATCTTGTGGTTAACTCTAATATATAAATGCCTACCTACAGTTTAGTAATTAGAGTTTTGCATGGGGAAACCTGTTGAGAGAAGGCCAATATATTGTCTTTGAATAGCTACTTTCTTGTAACTGAACTCATCTATCTTGACCGTTATGAGAACAAAACGAAAAACACCTGGATTCCACATAAAGAATATCTATATGTATATCTTCAACTATGCCTCTGCATAGTTGGTAAACCAATTTAAGGAATTCCAAGTGGGATAAATGAGAAATGTAAGTTCCTTCCTTAGTATGCTTCCAAATGATCTTCAGAACATTCATATTTATCTAAACAGCTACATATTCTTCCTCTCTCACACACATACACACATATTGCATATATACACTTACAATTATATTCACCAACATATATTATTTTATTTTACTTATATATCAACTTTATAGAAGGCCCATTTCACTCACAAAACAACTCTGGGCAGTAACCGAATGATATATATTGTATAAATATGTGTCTGCATTGCCCCAAATGTGCTTTTTCAACTGGACTTTCTGTTTTTTTTTTTTTGAAAGCACTTCACTTCTCATTCTAGAAGCTTCTTCAGCTCTAAAGCTCTCTCTACCCAGAGCTGAAGAAACTTCTTGGATGAAAAGCGAAACATCTTCAAAGGAAAACTAGAAAAATCAGTTGCCTCTTGA